GTGGAGTTATTGTTATATCAAAGAAAAAATTTTGAAAAACAAATTTTAATTATAACTTCTAACAATAAGTTGTTACCAGGACAACAATGCAATTTCGGCAATTAAAGTAACTCATGGTAATATTCATTTACAAGTTTAAAGTGATGTTCAATATGTCTGGATTATACAGGAGCAGACGAAGTTATCTATTTAAATTTATACATCTTTGACAGCGTTGCCATATTTGGCATTTTTCTTTCATAGTTCGATTCCTCTCTCACTTTGCTATCAGTCAATATCTTGTACCGTTTTTGAGAAAATGGAATTTTATTATCATTGTATCAAAAATGTGACTTTTGTACAAATCTTGGTTTCTATAGAATTAAAAGAAAAATGAGAACTATTAAGTAAGATGTTCAATATGCGCACCATGAACTTCAATGCATTTTCTGAAATTACTCAAACACCTCTGCTGTACTCGAAATAACATGTGGTAATCATTTCTAATGATATCAGCGTATGTAATTAGAAGATTTAATAATTCTTCTCTACTATTTATAGAAGTATGATAAACAAGACTTTTAAGATGGTCCCAAAAAAAAATCGAGAGGATTAAGATCGGGAGACCTAGGCGGCCACGGAAAAGGACTACCTCGACCGATCCATCGATCAGGAAATGTGGTATTTAAATAAGGCCCTACTGACCTGCTAAAATGGGCTGGTGCACCATCAGGCACAAGCCACATGTTATTTCAAATATTTAAAGGGGCATCTTCTAATAAAGGGTTATGGTGTTCTTGCAGTAAATGTAAGTATTTATCCACATTTAAAGAGTCATCAATGATCCCACTAAGTAGTTTTCAACTATTTGTAACCATACATTAATGATAAATTTTTGTTAGTGTTTTATCTGAATAATAGCATAGGCATAGGGGTTTTTGTCACTTCAAACATGCAAATTCTATTTGGAAAACGATTGGCGTAAATCCGAACAGTTTCAGAAGCATTACATTCTGCAAAATCGTGTATTAGATGAATATCTGCAAATTCTTCCTAGCTAAAATCTTCCATGACACTGAATCAACAAGTGGTGTCAAAATGATTTGTGACAAATATCTAACTGCAAATTATACATACTTGTGGACAGTCATCTCAATTTTCATAAAAACCAAGATGTTTACAAAAATGTTAATATCGCATTTTTAATACAATACATTTATGTTAATAAAATTCGATTTTCTCAAAACAATACATCTTGTATTGTTTCGACTGATATAATACCTTTTTTAGCAAAGTGAAAGAGGAATCGAACTATAAAAGAAAAATGCCAAATTTGGCAACGCTGTCAAAGATGTATAAATTTAAATATCAGTTTAAACTTGGAAATGAACATTACCATGAGTTACCTTAATTGCCCAAATTTCATTGTTGTCATGGTAACAAGTTATAATTGGAATTTGTTTTTCAAACTTCTCTCTTTGAAGGCGAATAACTCCACAACAAAGTTCGATAAGAAAAATGCTTTTATGAAGTACTATAACTATTTTGACCTCCCCTGTAAATTCCTTCATTTTTAGTATGACACTTCCGGACACCCTGTATATACAAGAGCCGGCAGAATTACAAATTAGTAAAGGAATAATAAATACACTTACGCATAATGATACTGGCTGCCATCAGGGGCAATATCACTTTCTGACCGAAGAATGGCGATGAATTTTCCATATGGTTGGGGGCTGTACGTAGGTGAAGGTAGTGGACTGTACCTTGATAATGGTGCTGGGAATACTGGTGGCTTAGTTGAATATTGGCGAAGAGCACCAGGGAAGGTAGCTGGAGTAACAGTTGCTACCAGAGCAGACAGAAAGATCTAGAAATTGAGCCATTGAATTAAAAACTAAAATCAAATAAAATGTAAGTCATTCATTTTCAAGAAAGTTTTGTCGAACGTAACGTAGCGAGTAAAATGGCTCCGCCCAGTACGCGCTGCAGACGATCCTCTGTTTTTGAAATTTACACATCATGAACAATGTAGGTAGTATTATGTAGATGATAACAAATATTACAGTCGATAATAATGTAATCATTGCTCATCATATGGAAAATGTTTATCAACCGGTTTTTCAGAAATATTACTTTGTCAAACGTATTAGCTTCGGTAATAAAGCCAAATGTAGTGCAGACAAGCAATCACGTGATTTTCTATAACAGAATAATTTGACATTTTTCGTCAAGAAAAAAATTTCTCAAAATGTAAATGTTAAAACAATACCTATTAAAGTATTGATGAGATTTTTTACATTTTTTTAAATATTGATTGTTTATGTTCACTGTTTTCACATAAATGAGTTTTTAGTGTTTGCACATTTTTCTCAGAAAAACTAAAATACGTTAATTAAGCGTAGCTAACACAAAGTTTATTTAGTTTCAGCAAGTTATTGCAGAACCGACCAGTGATGTAAAAAATGTACACACAAAGAAGGCCTTTATTTTCTTTTAATTCAGTTTATGTATCTGTTAACCAAATAGGAAATTGAAATAAATTGAATTTAGAATCAGTTTTTGATTTGAAAAATTTTTAATAACACATTTTCAGTAGTCTATATACAAAAAACTTAGTTAAACTAAAATCTAGTCACAAAAACTCATTTAAACGATGATTGTAGTAACAAGAAGTAAGTAATTTATACTTAAATTAAAAATGTTCTTCAAAAAAATAATAATAAAAATTCTCTACAACCGAATAATAAACAATAAATTCTTCTTTATGTAAGTATATTTCTGTATTTTGCCATTTTCAACATTTTTTGACAAAAATTTAAAACTTAATGATTTTCTGAATAAAAACTATTGCCAAAATAATTTGTTGCTAATGTTAATATACAGCTTGAAAAGATAAAGAGATCTGCATGAATTTTATAGAAAATATGTGGTAGTTATTAGTTCTTACCAACTTCAACATCCTGACTTTATATTTGGAAGAGTATCTGTACGAGACTGACTCTAAAACAATTCGACTTAATATATATGATACGATTATGAACAAAAAATAGATTCATCCTCAAATTTTAAAAAGGTTATACGCCTACTCCAGAAATACTGCAGAACTGGTTTCNTGTATAAAATTAAATATCAGTTTAAACTTGGAAATGAACATTACCATGAGTTACCTTAATTGCCCAAATTTCATTGTTGTCATGGTAACAAGTTATAATTGGAATTTGTTTTTCAAACTTCTCTCTTTGAAGGCGAATAACTCCACAACAAAGTCCGATAAGAAAAATGCTTTTATGAAGTACTATAACTATTTTGACCTCCCCTGTAAATTCCTTCATTTTTAGTATGACACTTCCGGACACCCTGTATATACAAGAGCCGGCAGAATTACGAATTAGTAAAGGAATAATAAATACACTTACGCATAATGATACTGGCTGCCATCAGGGGCAATATCACTTTCTGACCGAAGAATGGCGATGAATTTTCCATATGGTTGGGGGCTGTACGTAGGTGAAGGTAGTGGACTGTACCTTGATAATGGTGCTGGGAATACTGGTGGCTTAGTTGAATATTGGCGAAGAGCACCAGGGAAGGTAGCTGGAGTAACAGTTGCTACCAGAGCAAACAGAAAGATCTAGAAATTGAGCCATTGAATTAAAAACTAAAATCAAATAAAATGTAAGTCATTCATTTTCAAGAAAGTTTTGTCGAACGTAACGTAGCGAGTAAAATGGCTCCGCCCAGTACGCGCTGCAGACGATCCTCTGTTTTTGAAATTTACACATCATGAACAATGTAGGTAGTATTATGTAGATGATAACAAATATTACAGTCGATAATAATGTAATCATTGCTCATCATATGGAAAATGTTTATCAACCGGTTTTTCAGAAATATTACTTTGTCAAACGTATTAGCTTCGGTAATAAAGCCAAATGTAGTGCAGACAAGCAATCACGTGATTTTCTATAACAGAATAATTTGACATTTTTCGTCAAGAAAAAAATTGTTCTTTTCTCAAAATGTAAATGTTAAAACAATACCTATTAAAGTATTGATGAGATTTTTTACATTTTTTTAAATATTGATTGTTTATGTTCACTGTTTTCACATAAATGAGTTTTTAGTGTTTGCACATTTTTCTCAGAAAAACTAAAATACGTTAATTAAGCGTAGCTAACACAAAGTTTATTTAGTTTCAGCAAGTTATTGCAGAACTGACCAGTGATGTAAAAAATGTACACACAAAGAAGGCCTTTATTTTCTTTTAATTCAGTTTATGTATCTGTTAACCAAATAGGAAATTGAAATAAATTGAGTTTAGAATCAGTTTTTGATTTGAAAAATTTTTAATAACACATTTTCAGTAGTCTATATACAAAAAACTTAGTTAAACTAAAATCTAGTCACAAAAACTCATTTAAACGATGATTGTAGTAACAAGAAGTAAGTAATTTATACTTAAATTAAAAATGTTCTTCAAAAAAATAATAATAAAAATTCTCTACAACCGAATAATAAACAATAAATTCTTCTTTATGTAAGTATATTTCTGTATTTTGCCATTTTCAACATTTTTTGACAAAAATTTAAAACTTAATGATTTTCTGAATAAAAACTATTGCCAAAGTAATTTGTTGCTAATGTTAATATACAGCTTGAAAAGATAAAGAGATCTGCATGAATTTTATAGAAAATATGTGGTAGTTATTAGTTCTTACCAACTTCAACATCCTGACTTTATATTTGGAAGAGTATCTGTACGAGACTGACTCTAAAACAATTCGACTTAATTTATATGATACGATTATGAACAAAAAATAGGTTCATCCTCAAATTTTAAAAAGGTTATACGCCTACTCCAGAAATACTGCAGAACTGGTTTCGCATCATATACCGTAACGGTAGCAAATTTCACAATTAGGCATCACCGGAAGCGTTAGAAATACTCGAATAAGGAATATTATTATTAGTTAAAAACATATTGAGTATGATAGTTGCGCACTCATATTTATTATGAATCAGTAAAATTTTTAAAAGTCTAAGTAATTGAATTTCAATATAGGTACAGGAAAATAATAATTATTTTTTAATTTTCTATTTAGAGACTTAAATAAATGAAGTTTGAGGACACCTACACGTTTAAGTTGATACCTGCAACTCCTTAAGGAAATATAGCAGTGTACAGCCATCTAATGTTTCTGTAATAAATACACTACTGGAAAAAATTAAGGGAACAAAGAGAAAATCAGAAATTGGCTGTATTTTAGTGAAAAATGGTAGTATTAAGATAAAAAGCAGTTTGAAGCTGCAAGACTCTAATTTCAAGATCTTTTTACAAAAAAAAAGTTCACTGAGATGCAGCTTGTCAAAAATCACTAAAATATTTTCAGATTTTTTTTGTTCCCATAATTTTATAATTTATATAAAATATAATATTTAATAATATATGCGAGCTAATATGTGTTGTATAAATTTCATTCGCATATATTATATTTAGTTCGCTCAAATTAGTTTATGTAAGGTTGGTACTGCAACGAAACTCCCATGTGCAAGCATAGGCTTCCCTCCCGTACCACCTGCCCCGCAAGAGATCTGTCGGACCTCCTTAAAATGATATTAATATCCAATCTTGTTCTTGAAGTTAAGTTCATAACTTATTGTAAAACTTTCCGCTCTTGTAATTTCCGAGGTCAAAAAGGAAGGTCCCTTTTAAAATTTTGAATTTGACCCTCAAACGACCTTGAAGTCAAGGTAATTTTCAAGGTCATGTCAAGATAGCCTCCTTTTCACCCTACAACTTTTGTGTGAAACATTTTTTTTAAAAAGTGAACCCAAGGTACTCCGTTGTCTCAAGATTTTTGTTTTTTGTTTTTTTATGGCCAAAATATGGGATAAATCGAAAAAATAATAAGAACATAGTTTTTTTCTTTTTTCAATGGAAATCCGTGGTAAAAAATGGGTGTTTCTATTTAAAGAAATCAACTTCCGGTCTGAAAACACCACTTCCAGTCTAGACCGGAAGCCGTAATATGGATCTTGCAATGCCCCCCTCGGTGCCCTACAGTTTTTGTTTG